AAGAGCAAGAAACTCAGTAATTACCGTTCGAACCCTCCAGTCACTAATTCGAAAAATCACAAGTGATTTTAAGGCTATTCTACTTCAAGCAAAATGAAAGACCTCTGCAGACAAGAGTGAAAAACAGAGAATGAAGCACGATATCAGTGTCCATTGCACATGTTCTGCTTCTCTACATTAAGTATTTCCCTTCATTCGATCAGAAATGATCCATCCTTTTACAACATAAATTGTATTAGTTTTGCTCAACAAGCGTTGAGACAAATGTGAAAGCACCATACTTATGTTGCAATCTTCGGAAGTGGTCACTGATCCTTTTACTAGTCACACTCGTTCACAATAATCGAGTCTGTCTAGTAAGAGGACGGGTGACCACCTCTAAAGATGAAGCGACGCATTATTATGGAGTTAGTCACTGTAAAATAGAGAATTGTAATGCAATGTCTTTCTCTGTGGTGTCAGAAACAGATGGGTGACCACTTCCGAAGGCTGAAACATAAGTGTGGTGCTTTCACATTTGTCTCAACGATTGTTGAGCAAAACTAATACAATTTATGTTGTAAAAGGATGAATCATTTCTGATCGAATGAAAGGAAATACTTAATGTAGAGAAGCAGAACATGTGCAATGTACAGTGATATCGGGCTTCATTCTCGTCATGTGAAGTTATTGTTCTTTGTTCGATAAGAACAAGGAATAACAGCACCCTCTTACAGTGTGGACGGAGTTGTGTTGCTTATCGTGCCTTAATTGCGTCTTTCTCGAAGGAAACCATTTGACGAGATCCTTGAGAAAGGTCGAAACTGGTCGTAGTATCTCCTTTTGATTCTTCCAGAAACGAATTCTGTTTGAGTCTCTAGTAACTATTAAGCGGTTGCAAAATTAACTAAATATAATTATCAAGTCGAGTTTCAGAGTTATGTGTCTGCCACTGTTTATAAAACGTCTAAAAACGCTCCAGTCTTTCGTAATGATTTCTTATATGTTGTCGATCGAAAAAATTTATTGAAAATGTGAATTCCAAAAAAAGATTTTCGTATCACGCACGTCTCCATACAGATTTAAATAATGTTGTTATAAAAGTTGTTAGTGAATACGAAAACCATTCTGGTAATCCACGTTCGGAACCAGTACGAAACATTTTTTTCTAACCGAACCGAAGCTCAGCTGAATCGAATCGTAACCGACGTCTGTTTGAAAAAACATCAACCGAACCGAGTGTACCACTAGTGTAGAAAGGGGAGCACTGAGAATGATGATACTGCGGTTTCTTATCAGAGTGTCATCAGTGCATCATTAAGTGCCCATTTCAAATCTCTCAGATCCACTGTGATTGGTTTATCAGCTCGACCTTTTGCTTTCACTAGCCAATACTTGTGTCCGCTATGGACAGACATCTCAAAATACATTTCAGGTAAAGGCCATCCTTCTGACTGACCAAATTCTATGATTAGTGTACCGGGTTTGCACCACATAACATTGTAAAGGCCTGCTCCATGTGGTGCGACCACGACCTTTGCTTTTTGCCACACTTTAATCTGTTCTCTTACGTGTCCTTCTGCATTGAAAACTTGAATTTTCAGCTGTACCGACGGATGTTCGGCAAGTATCTGTTTAATGAGCCCAACCATAGAATCGTGATTACTAGTCGATCGTTGGTCACCTTCCTTTCTTTTTACGACTAGTAACACGTCCCGCTCTTCATCCACCAGATCGTTGTCTCCAATAATGGCTTTATGCACTGTTTCCATATCTGTACGGTCGTGTACATATTTTCCGTACAGGTCCCCTGTTAAATATGGCCACGATTCAGTACGATACACAATTTTAGCAGCATATATCTTTTTAGGATCATATGGTATGATTCGATCTCGCGTTACAATCCCGAGGTCAACTAAAATCTCCATGAACTGATCAGCTGTTCCGCCTTTCGCTACCAACAACTTGGCGGTCGACGGTGCCGTTGCCAACAGACGAAGTGCACGTGGTAATTGCTCTGGAGCAAAATGCCCATTCGCAGCAAGAAAGACTCCGACACTATCTAATAGTTCCTCATAGTATTCAACTATTTTACCAGTTGAACAAAAAGGCACAGGGTCATTATGACACGGTTTTGTAGACCATTGTTGAAAATGATATGTAGCATACTCATTATAAATTACACCAGCAGGACTACAACTGCCATTATCTATAAATGCGTTAAACACAGCAACAGTGACTGAATGAGTCGTTGCGGGCGACCGCAGAGATAGAACTTCTGCGTTGTAGATGCATGATTGCCATGGATTGCAATTCATTATATTTTGCTGATAACATGTAGAATTCAGATCTACAGCTCGCGGTAACGGATGAGGTATGGGATTAGGTAGTTGACGGAAGTCATCAATAATTAAACCTTGATCAGGATGTGTGCGTAGATAGGTTTTCACATCATTAACCACTGACGGAGGTCTCCCATTAATATTAATTGGTCGCTTAATTCTGAAGCCGCTTTCACGAATTCGCCTATACTTTTCATAGTTTCCGTTTCGCAACCAGGTCCAATCAAACAAATGTGTCATATTACGTTTTGCTACCCAATGTGGCGGCCTTCCACTCTGTGCTGATGACTGAATATTCCACAGCGAATAATTAAAGAGGGGGTTGACACAAATGAAAGCTTCGTTTTTCAGAGAAGATATTACAACAAGAACCAACCCAGTTGCAACGAAGCTACAGAGAAATAGTCTTAACCGAAACATCTGACCTGGTCTGTAAGATATAAGAGAATAGTAGAACTTATGCCTCTTTAGCTTCATAGTTGATATGAATTTATTCACCCTTTACTAAATGAACCGGAAAATCCATTTTCTTATGAGAGAGCCAGAAAAGTACCTCGGTAAACCATATTCTTCTTTATCTGATTTAAATAAAGTATCTGACAGGAAAATATGTGCCTATCACCAACGCCAAATTACATGTGACCATTCAAAACAATGTCAGCAGTAATATTTCATTTACACGATATTGAGTTGTCTGATTTATCTAAACGATGCTCATATGATAAATAATACTGTATATGCTTGAATCGCCTTTGCTAAATCTCGGTGTTCTAAATAAGAAAATGAATTTTTATTCCAATTGGAGTCTGATATACTTTAATATATATCGTTGATAAATAAGTTTACTGAAAGGAGCGAACAATGAAACTACTATCCATTTCAAAATAGAAGATGAGTAAACAAAACGCTTATAACTCCGAAACGAAAAGATCTAGAGACCTGCAGTTTTCAGTTTCTGAAACTAGACACTGGGGCACGTCGATCTGTGAAAAA